TTCTCCCCTCCCACTATCATGATCCGAATTCTACCTTACAAATCTGGCTGGACCAGAGGATGTACACTGGTACAGATAGGAACTGGAAACATAAGGGAATCCAGGACAGATAAACCCTTCAGGACCAGTGGCGAGAGTGGCGATAACGGGAGTCTGGAGCAAAGGTGGGGTAGAAAGGGGGAACCGATTACAAGAATCTACATGTAACCTCCTCTCTGGGGGATGGACAACAGAAAAGTGGGTGAAGGGAGATGTCGGGCAGTGTAAGATATCACGAAATAATAATTTATAAATTATGGAGGGTTCATGAGGGAAGGGAAAGTGGGGAGAGAGGGGGAAAATGAGCTGATACCAAGGGCTCAAGTAGAAAGCAAATGTCTTGAGAATGATGATGGCAACAAATGTGCAAAAGTGCTGGGCACAATGGATGTGTGTATGGATTGTGAGAAGCGTATGAGCCCCCAATAAAATGATTTAACAAAAAAAATCAAAACCACAGTGAGTCACCTTTCGCACCAACTAGGATGACTATAAATTTTTTAAAAAATGAAAAATAAGATGTGGAGGAATAGGGACACTTGTCCATTGCTTGTCAGAATCAAAATGATGCAGTCTTTCTGGAAAACAGTTGCTGTAGTAGTTCCTCCAAAAGTTAAAAATATAATTACCATATGGCTCAGCTCTTCCATTCCCACGTCCACAGCCAAGATACAAGAAAAGTGAAAACATGTCCACCTATAAATTTGTAGCAGCTAAAAGTGGAAACAGCCCAAATGCTCATCAGCGGGTTACTAGATACACAAGTTGTGGTAAATATGGGTACAATGAAATATTTTTACTCAGCCAGAAAAAGGAACAGAGTCCTGATACAATTTAAATGAACCTTACAAGCATTATGCTAAGTGAAAGAAGTCAGATACAAAATGTCATATGACCCCTTTCATAAGAAATATCCAAAATTGGCCAATCCATACAGACAGCAGATTAGTGGTTTGCAGAGAATAGGAGGAAAGTGGTATTTTATGCTTGATTGATTACTTTTATACTTGAATATAAAGTAAAAAGTTCTAAAGCTAGAAAAAGGGTGGTGGCTGTATAAACTAGAAAAAGGGTGGTAGCTATATAACATTCAAAATATACTAAATACATCTGAATTGTACACTTTGGTTAATTATGTACTTAAATACTCAACACATTTCACATAAATTTTTTAAAAAGAAAGAAAAACTTGCCAAGCCACTCACATTTCTTTATCGGATGACATCAGGGAAAATGTTGATTTGACTCAATCATGTCTTCAATCACCATCTGTAGAAGCATTTACATACCAGATAAAAATTGAGTGAAATATATCTAGTCAATGGCTTTCACTCAGACCAGCATTTTACTGATAAAAGCTCTTTCTCTTCACAGTTATTAAGCTAGATGGTACAACCCCTGTACGATATGGTCTAAGACTGAATATGGATGAAAAGTACACAGGTTTAAAAAAGCAGCTGAGTGATCTCTGTGGACTTAAATCAGAACAGATCCTTCTTGCAGAAGTGCATAGTTCCAACATAAAGGTAATATCGATGACTCCAGGAGAGCCCTGAGTCTGTCCTTTAAAAGATCATAGCTTTAATTCTTGAAGCATTCGTAGAATTACTTGTTTTAAATGGAGCTAATAAAATACAATAAAAATTGAACAAAAAAGATATACCAAATTTACCAGGCCAGAAATTTCAGTTGTCTACTAGAATAAAGGTGGTATTTTTTAATAAGGGAACTCCCTAAGCCCACTGCTACTTGTATGGAATAACCTAGTTGTGTCAGTCCAGGATCGCTTTCCCCCAGGGACTGCTACTGCTGCTGCTCTTGAGAGCCTTCGGTATTACTATTATAATAGAATTCTTCCTAGATATTGTCTGTAGTTATAAATATATGTTTTGGGGTATTGATTTTCATGTGTGAATATTTATATATACTTGGCTTTTGGACACACTAAGAAAGTAGTGTATAAAAACTATCCACATGAATATTCTAATAATAGCCTACCCTAAATTGACCTCTAACCTTTAGTGTTTATATTTGTTTGAAGTTTCTGAAAAAATGCTCACCTTATAGGTGTTTTTCTATTTTTTTGTTTTGTTTTTGTTTTTCATATAAAATACAAAGGCAAAGTCTCTGAGGGTTATGAAGATGAAGACAAAAATGTACACTGTTCACTTGCTTCTGATGGAAAGGGATCATGGGGATTTGGGGGTGAACAATGAGGTTATTTTTCAGCTATGTTTGTCAACCATTTTATCTTTTAGGTAGTTGAGGAAAAATTATTCAATCATTTAGTTTCTTTTACTGAGCAGCTAAACCATTTGCCCCAAATATCTATTTTTGCTCCAAATACTTATTTTCTCTGACACTTCCCTTCCATCTTATCTTCTTTCTTTACAGAACTTCCCTCAGGACAACCAAAAAGTCCGACTCTCAGTGAGTGGATTTTTGTGTGCATTTGAGGTTCCCATCCCTGGATCTCCCATTTCAGCATCTAGTCCAATTCAGACGGGTAAGACAGAACAGCTGCTGCTTATAGTCTCAGCTTTAAAACTTGGTCTGTAGTTTTCATAGAGGATATTACAGCAAAAGAATCCTGGAGCTAGAAGGAACCCCTAGTGATTATTTGGCTCAAGTTTATCATTGTATACATAGGAATTTAAGCTCTAAAGAACCTAAATGACTATTAGGTACCTTGTTATTAAATAAACTTTGACTGGGATTCAGATTTCTGAATTAAATCTTTTTGTCTAAAACTAACAGAGCTGTAGATGGTACGAAGGGAACCTAATATCAGAAAACATAAGCCTAGATAAAGCTAAACAGAAATTTGTTTATCTAATATTGCATATATTTAATACAGTAATTAAATTAGTGTTTTGGGTATTAATATCCTTGCTTTTGATTCCTCCTCCTCCTGATAATTACCGTATATACTCATGTATACTCCGATTCTTCAGCACATTTTTTAATGCAGTTTTGTGGTAAAATTAGGTGCCTCAGTTGATATCCAGGTTGGCTTATACTCAAGTATATACGGTACGTTTATTCCAAACTGTAGAGGATTTCTTTAGAGAATGAGTTTCTAGATAGTGAACCATCTCTTACATTCTTCAGAGGCTCCTCTCATTGATACTTTGTTAGTAGGACTAATGGTAGGTTGTTGGATGATCTTTTAATGCTTTTTATTTATAGCAACACTAATAGAACTTTAATGATGGAAATTTTCCGTAATTTATATTGCCCAATATGGTAGTCATTAGTAACTCTGGCTATTTATTGAGCACTTGAAATGTGGCTAGTAAGGCTGAGGAAATGATTTTTAAGTTTAATTTCTTTTTAATTTAGAAAGCAACGTCAAGCTCAAAGCTACCATATTTTACAGAGCAGGTTTAAGGGAATGGAGGAAAAATAATGGAATAGAGAATGACAAAAAGAGGGGGAAACAGGGAAGTTGATAGCATTGATGATTATATAACTCCACCCGATGGAACTGAACAACAGAACTGTATGGGAAGGGAAGAGATATATTGGAATGAGTGAGATATGTCAATAAAAAGTAGAACTCTTTAGATGCCGCAACATGGTACTGATAGAGGTTTCTGCAGAATTTTGCTTGCGGTTTCCAGCATAGACTCTTGTGCTTGTGTAGTATGAGTTGAGGTAAACCTGAAATTAAAATCTTTGAGTTGAGCTTGAATTATTATTTGAACTATAATTTCTTCATGCCTTGTATTCAAAGGGTCTATCCTATCAATGGTCTGGAACCCCACTTGATTAAAAAAAGTCAAGATAAAGGTACTACAAGTATTTATGGTGCTGTATTTATCTTTGAATGCATAGATTTTTCCTCTTCCCCATCTACAAATGGCATGTTTGCTCTGACCACCAATGGAGACCTGCCTCGACCGATATTCATCCCCAATGGAATGCCAAACACTGTTGTGCCATGTGGAACTGAGAAGAACTTCACAAATGGAATGGTGAATGGTCATATGTCATCTCTTCCTGACAACCCCTTTACAGGCTACATCATTGCAGTCCACCGAAAAATGGTTAGTTAAACGTAAGCCAAGTTACTGCTGGTCTTTCCGGTCTCTTTTGTGAGGTAGTCATATTCTGTCTTCCAACATCTTCATTGGATTTAAATTCATGTGATTATTAATTATCATTTGGTAATATAAGTGGTTGCAGTTGGTTTTAGTATCACACATGATGACCTGTGTATGAAGTATGAGATTCCTCATTCTTGTTAAGATGCAGGAGGGTAAGTGGTGTATCGGTCTTGTTTTCTTTAAGAAGTCTGTATCTCCTATGTGTTCGTGTAAGGAACCCTGTTGGTACAGCAGTTAAGGGCTCTGCTGGTAACTGAAAGATTGGCAGTTCAAACCCAACCCACCTGGTAGCTCCATGGAGAAAAAAACCTGACAATTTTCTACCATAAATATTACAACCTTTAATAAAGAAGCAGATAGACTCTGGGCTTCTACTTAAATCATACCTCATTATACGAACAGTTTGTTCTAATAATATGGCATTTTACGATACTCACTTTCCTGACACGATAGCTGAATACAAAATGGGTGCGCAAGCAAATGTGGTGAAGAAAGAGCTGATAGTGCCTGGCTATCAAAGGATACAGCATCTGGGGTCTTAAAGGCTTGTAATAAAACAAGCAACCATCTAGCAGGGAAGCAACAAAGCCCACTTGGAAGAAGCACACCATCCTATGTGATCATGAGGTGTTGATGGGAAGGAGTATCAGAAGTTCAAAAATGCACAACCAAATCATTGAGAATGGGAGTGGATGTAGTGGAGACCCAAAGTCCACCTACAAGATCATTGGTAAGGCCCTCTCAGGGCCACATGGAACAGATGATAAATCCAGGGTGTGGTATGGCACTTAAGAACTACATAACTACTAATTCTTTTAAGATTTCTTCCCCACACTCTTAAGGTCTTAATGTGTTATACCTCATTAATCATGTTAGATTTGCATACATTCATTTGTATATTTAAGATCTCTCAGTACATGGTAATCAAGATAGATGACCCCTAATAGGGGCAGTAGTAATGGCTCCCTGGGGCACAGGAAATGAGGGGAGGGAGGAGTGAGGAAGGGGTGAGTGAAGAGGAGCTGATAGCATTGATGATTGTATAACCCCACCAAATGGGATTGAACAACAGAATTGTATGTGAATGGACATATTGGAATGTGTAAGATATGTCAATAAAATTACTATTTAAAAATAAAAGATTATACCCTTGAAAGCCCTATGGAGCAATTGTGCTCTGTCACAAGGGGTCGCTATGGTTGACACACCTTCACAGTATCTAACAACAGCAATATATGTTTGTGTAGAGATGTATATCTTCTCTGACATGTAAGTAAATGTAGGTGCCTATGGAGAAGGTACTTTTTAGGACACAAGAATGTTCTTGGACATTGGACAGTGTAACATATGACAAAATAATAATTTATTAATTATCAAGGGTTCATGAGGGAGGGAGAGGGAAAAATGAGCTGATGCCAAGGGCTTAAGTGGAGAGCAAATGTTTTTAAAATGATGAGGGCAATGAATGTACAAATGTGCTTTACACAATTGATATATGTATGGATTGTGATAAGAGTTGTATGAGCCCCTAATAAAATTATTTTCTTTAAAAAAAAGGAATACAAAAATACTGACAAATAAATAGACAACATCATGATTT